TGATGTATAACTGTTTTTCTTGCCCATTTCTGTGTTTAATGTCTAAGAAGCACTAAGAAATGTTTGGAATAAGACCCACTCTAGCTCCGTTCCAGAGCTGTATAAGTATAGAAGTGAAAACGCATAAGTCATTTGTGGGCATCCCCTATGTTATGCGACACAGGGAACAAGGGCTCTATGAAATTACAGCCTTTCTTGTTCCTGAATCATAGCTGTCTTATAAAATGTTGTATGGACTTTTAGCCATTAGGATAGTTCCTCTCAAACCATAACTATGTGTCACCGAGGATTAGAGAAATTGGAACCCTTGCACACTCTAATTAGACAATGTGGAAAACAACATTGATGTTCCTACAAAACTGGGCCACGGAGTGACCATGGGCTTTTGCACCCCACTTCTGGTTCTATGCCCCTGAAGACTGAGAGCAGAGGCTCGAACAGACATTTGTGCACACGTGTGTTTTATCATCATTATTCAGGTGGCCATGATACACGTGTTTATCAGCAGATGAATGGATAAACGAAAGTTACATGTATAGAAATAGAATATGGCTCAGCTTTAGAAAGAAAGGGAATTCTGAACCATGTCACATCCTGAATGAGTCCTGAGGACATCATGCTAAGCAACATCAGCCAGTCACCAGAAGGGTAAATCCTGCCTGATCTCACTCTCCCCAGTGAGGGAGGTAGAGGAGGCGCTGGGGTTGGGACTGCGGAGAGGAAAAGGGAGAGGTTAATGTGTCTGGAGTTCCAGGTTGGAAAGAGAAGACAGTTTCGGAGTTGGATGACAGTTGATGTGCAGTATGAATGGACTTTGTGTCATTCAGCTCTGTGCCTAAAACTGGTGGGGCAGTGCGAAGACTCAGGAAAGGGCACGGGCAGAGAGAAGCAGGGCATCTGCAGAATGTGCATTGTGTTGTGATGCAAACAGAGCTACTGGGGAATTCCATGCTGGAGGAGGCAATATTCTCACTTGTGCTTTTAAAAGAGGTAGCAAACGCACGCAGGCGTCTCACAGGCAGCCCCTGTAGCTGTGCAGACCAAGTGCGGCGGGGCGTGCCAGAGGAGTTAGACTTTAGAAAAGGTTTGGAGTCTCAGGGGACTTTGCCGACTTGCTGTGGGTCCTCTCAGTTATGTCTCCAGTCTTTCTTTTCCTTTTTTCTTTTTTTGGTCTTTTTGAGACAGGGTCTCCCTGTAGCCCCAGCTGTCCTGGAACTCACTATGTAGACCAGGTTGGCCCTGAACTCACAGAGATTCGCCTGCCTCTGCCTCCCGAGTACTGGGAGTAAAGGCGTGTGCCAGCAGCCTCAGGTGCCCTCCTCGGGCCCCTCATCTTCACTAAGGTCCTGCCTGTCACAGTCCAGCACCCAGCTCACACTTCTCAATGAGCCTTTTACATTACAACTTGATCTAGCTTTCAAAAAAGCCACTCTGCGAGAATTGAGGACACAGCCCACTGGCAGCATGCGAGGTCTTGAATTTGATTCCCAGAAGTGCAGGAAGGTAAAAGGCCACCCCACACATGCAATTGCTGTGTCCCTCAGAGTTTTTATCAGCCACAAACATCCCTGGCATAAACAGGGCAGGATTTACATGGGCACGTGGTTTGGCTGGATGACTTTGGGCCAGCCTGAGGCTGAGCACTATGGCAGGAGGAAAAGGAGACAGGGCCATAGAGGAGGCTCCTCATCGTATGGCAGACAGGAAGCCCAGAGATAAGGGGAGATACAGCTCAGTACTTGAGTATGGCATGGGGTAGGGGGATATGTTCAGACCATGGCAACTTTTCTGCTCAGAACTGCAGTCAAGTCCAACTCCTTAGCCTGGCATCCAAGAGCCTTTGCCAGTGGGATCAGCTTTGCCAGTGGGATCATGCTGAGTGGGACAAGATTCTCAGGTACCAGACAGGGAACTCCACCCCGAAGATGCCTGGCACTCAGTCGTAGTTGAGAACAAGGCAATGATTAACAGCTTTGTCTAGCCACAGTACTAACCTGTAAGTAACCAGGAGAGGATGTTCTTTCACTTCTAACAATTGTACAATCACAGCACGGGTCAATACCATTATTTCTGAGGAACTAGGTTCAGTAGATGCAAAAATGAATAGATTTTAAATTAGTGACAGTGGAATTAGTGCGTGTAGAATGCAGGTGGACATAAATCTACAAATCATTGTGACATAAAGCAGTAAGTGCCATAAAACCAAAGTACCACAGTAGCACTACCTGAGAACGGGTTGCTAACATTGCCTAGAGATGGCATTCACGGCCCATAGCCTACTCAGTCAGGCCCCAGAGTGGTTGGAGAACACCCCAGGTTAGCTGCTCTCCATCCTGCCTGACCTTTGCACTTACTGGTAAGATTCTGGATTCCAGCACACTGGCTCTGATTACAAATCTTGCAATAGGCTACACTTTACATTCTGTGCTCTGACCCAGTGCTGCTCAAACTTAAAAATGTAAATTCTGATCCAGGAGGTCTGGGCTGATCCATGGGATTGATTATGCTTGTTGAACAAGCTTCTGGTGCAGCTGGTCTGCAGATCAAAGCAGGAATCCCACGCCTTTCCTGAGCACCTCCCACCAGATCCAGGCCTCTGTATTTGGTAGGAGTGAAACCAGGTGTCTCTTCCTTGAGGCTTGTTTCTGATCTCCAGGGCATCCCTTGCATGTATGAGGGGTGTGTGTGTGTCTGTGTGTGTGTGTCTGTGTGTGTGTGTGTCTGTGTGTGTGTGTCTGTGTGTGTGTGTGTCTGTGTGTGTGTGTCTGTGTGTGTGTTCTGTTGTTTATTTATTTGTTTGTTGTTTGTTTGTTAGGAGCTAGCATCTCACTATGTACTGCCCACACTGGCCTGGAACTCTCTATCTTGCCCCAACCTCCAGAGAACTGAGATTGCAGGTGTGTACCACCCACCAGTCTCTACCTGTGCTTTTATCTCTACCCTCCCTCCTTGGCAGAGCCTTCTTCCCAAGTCTCTTCCTTCAATGAGCTACAGGCTCCCTGGTGGGGGGGGGTGTTGGTCTGACGGAAGGCATCTGTGAAAGGTTAGGCTTTAATAACTATTCGCTCAGTTATATTTAAATTAAAGTATTACTGCATGTGGATGGAATGTGTGCATGTGTATGTCCATGTCTGTGTATGTATATCTGTGTGTGGTGACCTGTTCAATGAATCAGAACAGGTCACCAGATAAAGCAATTACCCCAAGTTACAATAAGACACAGGCTGCAGGTATCAGGAGGGGAAACCACCCACAACATGTAGATTAAGACATGTTTTATGCTAACGCTGCCCCCCTACCCAAAACTATGTCTTGTGCATAATAAACAAAAGATAAATATCTTTCAAATGCTAAATGAAGGAAGAAGGCATTGAACCTCAATTCTGGAATAATCACAATTTTTTAATTTAAAATTTTATTTATTTATTTTATGTGCACGAGTGTTTTGCCTGCATATATGTAGGTGCACCCACGTCAAGCAATACCTACAGAGGTATTGCCAAAAGAGGGTGTTGAATCCCTGGACTGGTGTTATTGGTGGCTGTTAGCTGTTATGTGGGTGCTAGAAACAGAACCTAGGTCCTCTGCAAGGTCCTCTGTTCTTAACTGGTGAGCCATCTCTTCACCCCATAATCAAAATTTTAATCCCTGGAAAACTGAAGCAGTTAAAGTCCTCCTAAGCGCTTCATTTTGCTGGGGTAAGGTGAACACACAGAAACAAACAGTGCCTTGGGTATTTCCCAACTCAAAGATAAAAACCTGAAAATTCTCCCCTATAGTGGACGCACATCAAACTGTTCCGTAAGAACAGTTTCATTCCTAGCAGCAAAACCAATCCGAGACATTTTTTTCTAACATACCACCAAATTGTTTTAGATCAACAAAAGCTTTGTTTTGTTGCTATTAAATATCAAAAGACACCCACTTAATTGCAAACATAAAAGCCTTTTCTTTGCCTCTCATTTCAGTTCTGCTGATGAAGATTTTGCAGCTCTGCTTGGTACCAAAATAGCTCTGTCTTGCTGACCATTTGCACCCTCACTGGGCAGGCAGTGATAACAAACTTGGAACACAGGAAGTTGACCATTTGACAGAGTTAAAATAGAGTTTCCACTTTCAAAGATGCAGCTCCACAAAGGAACAGCAGCTAAAATTTCTGCGTTCTGTGGATTGTTGACATTACTGTGCCATATTGACATGCTAAGGCATTGATATAATACATACTTCAAAAACATGGTGTCATTGTACATTGTGATTTGAATATGTTAAAACAGTTTTAAAATGTCTATTGCCTATTAAGCATCACAGTCATGACTTATTTGAAATCAATAACTTTTTTAAAGCCCATGTTTTCCTGTAAAGAATTAAGTGGTAATTTAATTACTTTAAGAGGTAACTTGGAAGCAAAGGCAGGAGTTGGAGATAATGCTTTGTGCAATATTCGCAAATAAGTCTTATTCAGTCTGTGCAGTGATCCTTACAGGTTTTCATTGTCATCCATTTTACAGACAGAGGAAGAAGCCGGTGATTTGGTATTTTGCTCATGGCCTTACACAGAAAAGGTGAAAACCTGATGCTTCTGGCTCTAAACCCACACAATTTCTTCTGTAGTCAGAGGCCTTCAGAAAGCTGCTACCTGTTTTTAAAATGATGAGTTTATGCAAAAATTATGCTACACAAACATGTCTGCATTTTTTATTATAGGATTTTATTTTGCTCATTTCTTCAATAAACGTTTCCTGGTTTCTACTATGCACTTGATGGTGGTGTCACTGCTAAAAATACACAGAACAGCAGAGTCTGGAGAGATAATTTAAAGACAGAGGCAGCTTGAAATTGCCAATGCCCCACTGTGTCTGAAGTGAGAAAACGCCCATTCCATATAATTTATGCTAAGAGAGAAGACACATTTTTTAAGACACATTTTTTTATACCAACTGTTCCAACTTGATTTTAGGAAAGTCGTCTGTTGGTTCCTGGCATTCTAACTGTACCGTTGATGTGAGTGCATCTTTCTCTTGGTTTAAGGGCAGCACCTCTGCTGCTAAGAATAGGGCAGCTGGACCGAGGTGGTGAGCGCCCTGGCTCTGGGCCCCTGCCTGGCCCGGTCCTTGCAGCCCAGCAGCCCAGCTGTCCAACCGCTGAGCTTCGGAATCTTTCCAGAGCCCTGGAAGCCACGTCACCTGCTTCAGAGGCCTGTGCTTCGGTAAACGAGCTGGTAAGCGATGACTTGATCTCCACTCTTTCCTTTCTTTCTGACTTAAATTTGAAGATATTGGGACAGGAAAACAAACAAACAAACAAACAAAAAACCAACATTGAAGTATCATCTTACTTCTTTGATATTTTACTTATTATTCTTCGTTTATGTGTATGAGCGCACTGCCCCCATGTATGAAAGCGCATCTGTGTCTTGCAATGCCGTGGAGGTCAGAAAAGGGTGTCTGATCCCCTGGAACTGGAGTTACAGGCAGTTGTTAGCCATGTGGGTGCTGGAAACCAAACCCAGTTCCTCTGCAAGAGCAGTCAGTGCTCTTAACCACTGAGCCATCTATCCAGCCCCCTCTGTTTTGAACATATTAAAAGCTATTTTGAAGGCCTTTAATAAATTCCAACACTGGAAACAGCAACGCTATGAATATAGGTGAGTTTAGGTCCATTCGCTGTAGAAAATATCCTGGAGGACATGTTCGTGGTGCTGAAATAGTTATCCATTTTAGAAGTGGAAGAAACATTCTTTTTTAAAATATATTTTTATTGAATTTCTGTGTATTTCATACAATACATCTGAATCATATTTAGTCCTCCTTCCTTATGTGTAGTCTCCCATAGCCTACGGGACTTCATGCATTTTGTCATAAATGCTGAGGCCTATCGAGTCAAGTTTGTGTACCCGGATGTCCCTCGTTGTGAGTTCATCCACTGGGAGCCTGTTCACGCCGTCTAGCATCCCTTAGGGATCAGCAGTGATCACCTGCCAATAGCTCCTTGCCAAATTGGGACCTTTGGCCCATTTCTGCAGTTGTATGTTGATTTTTGTCTGATGAGTTTGTGCATGCTGTCATCATTGCTGTAAGTTCCTATGATCAGGGTCCCAGGAGGCTGTCAGACTCTGTTTCCCCTATGGTCACGCACCTCCTCCCTGGCTCTTACAATCTTTCTGCCCTGTCTTCTGCAATGGGCCCCGAGCCCTGGGTGTGTGAAGTTTAATATAGGAGTCCCATTCAGTGGCCCACACTCTGCAGACTCTTATCCCCGACACTTTGGCCAGCTGTGGCCTTCTGTGTTCATACCCTCAGATTTCATTATGATTCAGATTCCTTGGCGAATACATTCCTGGTTAAGGTTTTACCTTTGCAGTTTATCACCAAGGAGAATGTTTTATAAACAGCCTGATGTGGGTATGCTATCTTTGCCAGCTTCAAACGACCTCACCCACTCCAAATTACAGGGCTTCCCTGAGAAATGCCCTTGGGTACAGGTCCTCCTGGCAACACATGTCTCAGCCTGCGATAACTGCCACACAGGATTGTTTGACCCTTCTAGGCTGCTGGAGCTAACAGGAAATGATCCTGGAGCAAGTGTGCAGTTTATTCTGTGCCAGCAGGACCAGAGGGCTTGCTCACCAGCTCACCCTGAACAGCCTACTCAGTGACTCCCCCAGCTCTGAAGACTGTGAAATCAGGTCTGTCTTTTGTGTACTGAGTTTGGTAAGTCTCCACCTGTGGATAGAGGGCGGACCCAGGAAGTGTGCCTCACCCTATTTCCCTGTGCAAGTCACTGTGTTTAAATGCGATGAGTCAGATGCAGTTTTATGTGTGTGTGTCGTGCTGTTCGCTAGAAGCTCTGCTAGGCTATGCGTATAAACTGACTAACAAGTTAGATCTGGCCTTGTAGCTCTGCAAGTGGGAACAAAATCTAGTTACAAATATCAGTATGTCACTTCAGAATACAAACATAGACGTGAAGTACAGCAGGTTTGGGAGGAAGCAGAGGAGCCCCGATTTCCCTTGGTCCTCACTGAGGAAAGGTCTGCCAGGACAGGAAGGAGAGGAAGAGGCAGAGACACTTTCCAAGGACAGGTGGCAAAGTGAGCTCCATCTTTAAAAGCTCACTGGGGTTGTGTAGAAAGTAGACAGCATAAAGGACAAGCATGCACTAGGAAATGAGGGGGCTGTGGGGACACCACACATCAAGGCAATGGCATGTAAGAGGTACACTTTTAGGAAGGAATGGCTAGAAATGCAGAATGGGAAGCAATTGTGTAAGACAAGCAGGTGTGTCATGCACACAGTAGCAAACCTCAGCCCTGAAGAGCTCAGGGGAGTAGCCTCAGCAGGAACAGAGCTGGGGCAGGGTGGCTGGGAGGGCTGCAGATCGCATGCCAACTTCAGGCCTTTCTAGATCTAGAAGAGTCCCCCCCTTTCTTCTGTACCCCACTGGCATCCCGGGTCACTGCAGGCATGTCTGCCCCATGCAGTAATGCTCAGCCCACCCAAGATCCAGCTAGCACCCAGCCCTCTGGGCACTTAGCCTAATCAGTCCCTACATACAGAGTAGTCAGGCACACCCCCTGGCATTTTCAAATGCCCAGAAGTGCCCCTGGTTGATGGCAGGCCTTGGGGGGCGTAGCCATGCGTGACTAGCAGGAACTCTAAGTAGCTCCCGAAGCCGGGTGGGGTGTTGTTCTGAGGGATACTTTGTCCTTTCAATGCGATTAGTAAGACAGAGATGACTCTATTCTTTAAAGGTCTCTCAGTGACCACATTTGTCCTCTGAGAACTGGACAGCAACATTTCATATGAGTCATGTCTGTTTGCCAGATTATCATACGTTGTTATGGAGACTTCCACTGCCCAGTCCAAGGGTTCAGAATTCCTGAAGTTAGCCTCAAACTTATCCACAGTTTGTGGAGAGAACAAGTTTGCTTACTTTGTTAATCTTTAGCTACTTCCTGCTTTGTTCAAAGTGGAAGCTGAAGGGCTCAGTGCTGCCTGGGGCCCATGCTGGCCTTTTCATGAGTCAAAAAAAAAAAAAAAAGCCCCTGTGTTCTGCCTAGAGCATGTTAATGATATTTAAAAGAACTCCAGATCCCTTCCTAGTTATCTGAGTATAGGATCAAAGTTGTTCCCTTTCTAACATAGAAGCTCCACACATGTGAAAAGAATTTAAAAGCTCTTCACACTGTTTTGGGTTCATCCCTTAGCAAAATCTCCAGGCACATCTGAATAGCCATTGGCCTTACCCTCAGAAGTATTCTCCTTAATAAGATGTTTGGCTCATTCTTGCTATTTGAACTTTCTTGATGATATCTTCAAGTCTCTGAAATGCAGACTCAAGAATGATGCGTGATGGATTTTATGGCTTCTTCAGCACGCCCTTTGAGCTAGGCATACCCAGCTTTGCACTTTTACAGAACCCTATCACTGTGACCTGATTTGCCTTTGTTTATTGCCTATAAGGGTGACAACAACCATTCCACAAGGTGTCATTAAGAGGATGCAAGTTTAGGGGGATAAGGAGAGAGGAGGGAAGCCGGAACCATGATCAAAATGCATTGTATACATGTATGAAGGTGTCAACATGAAGCCTGTTATTTTCTACAAATTAACACATTCTAATAAAATGAATATGCAAGGTTAATAATGTAAATTACTTAGAATAGGCCTTATGCACAAATAGGTGCTTTAAAAATGTCAGTTTCCTTTTCTGGGAGACTCACTGCTCTGTGGTCATCCCCCGACTTAAGGGCACAATCTGGATGACTAAAACCCACATTAATTTGCCATTGTGTTTTTTTTTAATTTTATGTGTATGAGTGTGTAAGTGCACCCCTGTCGTGCAATGCGGGTAGAGGTCAGAGGAGGGTGTCAGATCCCCTGGAACTGGAGTCACAGGTGGTTGTTAGCTGCAATGTACATGCTGGGAATTGAACCCTGGTCCTCTGTAATTGCTGAGCCGTCTCTCCAGCTCTGAATTCGCCGTTGTTTTAAATGCACAAAGAACAAATGAATAATAGCACATGGAAAAGAGATATGTGTGGAGTGGAGCACTGGACACAGTTGGTGTGGATGCTCCGAATCATAACCATTCCCTGCCTGACCCCTGCAAACTAGAGAATCATTCTGACAACAGACTGAAGTCTACGACTTGTGTTCTCTGTCATTGGAGCCTGGTTGTTTTCCAATCTCTTCCTGTAAGTTCTGTGGATCCACAGGAACTGCACAGCTCTCTGTACCCTCTCAGGTCCACTAGTTCCCACAGCTCCTCTCAATGTGGCAACCTGGGAGGTCACTTAAGGGAGGTCCTCATCACTGTCAGTGGGTTGGTACTGGGCGTGGGAAAGCCCTGGGTTGGGTCATGCCTGAGCAGGTAGCATTTGGGTTTCACATCCCAGCCTCTGGGTAGGACAGGGTGCCTGGTTCCTCCTGGCTCCTCTTAAGGCCACACTCATGCCCTATTCCAAATAGCACAGGAAGAATCTACCTCTGCCGTATTCTATTTGACAATCTCTCATCGGAACTGAAAATAAACTGTGGTCCTATCTTCCATGGTTTCTGAAGGAAAAATACTCTCTGTGGCCTCTCTTCACAAAGCCTGATGTCAAGCCACAGAGCCAGATAAAAGGCAAATGCCTTTTGCACATCTGCAGGGCCTCCCTTTCCCTCTGGTGCCCAGTATTTATGCAATGAATCTTGGAGGCTATTCTCATGATTTAACAAATGGTCCAGGCAGAGCAGAATGTCTGCTTAAGCTTAAACCAGGGCCCTCCACTAAGGAAGGATACGACTTTAAATGTGAAGGGGACATTGCAATTGAACTGTAAGAAAACTACACATTAAGAAATCTGTGACAGAGGTCCTGAGAGCGTGAACACCAACCAAGGCCAGGGTAGCAAAGGCCTCCAAAGCCGGGCTGGTGTGTTTACCCTGGACTGGACAGACCAGACTGTCTTTAGACCCACTGACAAATCAGTTCCCATCTTCTATTTTTCAATGGCTTGTAGTTAAACCTAAAATATACTGAGTGGTATTGTGTACCTCTGAGCAAATACTGTTTTTCTCCACACCGGTTTATTTGTCTGTGCAGTTGGGGTGACTTTCCCTTTATTAAGCATGGCATGAGGTGTGAATCAGATGATTCGAGTTCACTCACTTGGTACATAGCCTGGCACGTGGTGTTAACTAATACAGGGGCTTTCTTCTTTTTTATTCTTAATATATTAAAGTAAAATTATTTGCCAAATCTAAAGTTAATAATTACCTACAGACCTTAAATGCTCATCACCTACCAATCATAAATAAGGTAGCAATGACCATTTAAAACTTTACTGTTAAAGCTTGAGCATCAGTGAAGGACAATAGTGAAGTTTATCTGTTGGTCCTAAGATTTTTTTTTTTAAATATTCTTTTTTATTTTTTTAGTAGAAGTGTATCACTACAGCTTTAACATACTTAAACTTTAACAGTTTCTAGAAAAAAGATACATCTC